TATTCCGTCACTACAGATAATTTCTCTTGCTCCTGATCAATTAATTAAACACAAAGGTTTTGTTGTTGTTGTTTTTTATTCTTATTTTTCCTTCAGGCTGGAGGGGAGTGGTCTTTGCTTTTAGCTGCTGATTATAAATAAGTCAGCACACTGTCAATCTAGTCTTTAACTTGAAGAACGTAGGTATGGACAAGTGTATACTTATTTTTTTTTTAATAATTTATTTTTACTTTATGTGCATTGATGTTTTTCCTGAGGATGTCAGATCCCCTGGAACTGGAGCTACAGACAGCTGTGAGCTGCCATGTGGGTGCTGGGAATTGAACCCCAGTCCCTGGAAGAACAGTCAGTGCTTTTAAGTGCCGAGCCACCTCTCCAGCCCTGTATACTTCAGTAAAAGCAACCCTGTAAGACTCTGGTGTGTGGATTACTGTGTCAAAGGCCACGTTGGTAGAAAACACTCATTCCTGGTGCTGTGGAGACCTTCTCTGTTCAGTTGAAGCACAGGGCAAAGTTTTTCTATAATAAGGTCGTAGGAAACAACGAACTTACATTCAGTCATTTGTGTGTGAGTATGAATCTGGCAGACTATTTTTAAAGATCAGACTCATTTAGGGGAATCATAGGAATTCCCACCCCACCCTAAGTCAAAACATCATCACAGATTTGACCAACCTATGGCATGTGATTTTAAAAATTTTGGGAAATTTTGTAAAAAAAAAAAAACAAAAAAAACCTTAGGGGCCAGCAAAATGGCTCAGCAAGCAAAGGTACTTGCAGCAAAACCTGACAGTTTGAGTTCAATCTGGGGGTCCACATGATGGAAGGAGAGAGCCAATTACTACAGTTTGTCCTCCACACAGAGCCATGACACACACACTAAATAAATACTATAATAAAAAATTTAAATTTGATTTATTATCCACCATAAAATATGACATCTAACTCAATGCTCCTCTCCCACGCCTATGGCGCTGAGCATGTGGCTTCATTCTTTGTGCCTCACTGAGCATCTGTGGAGGAAGCTTGCCTTGGGCAATGGGTTAAAGATGACCATATAGACGTAAGGCACAGCACTGGAGAGTTCATTTTGTGCTGAAATGTTACTCGTGGTGATAAGGAGTTTGAGGCGATGCTGGTAGTTAGCTGGCTGGTCTGAAAACAGTAACTACATAGACTCTTGTTATGGATCTGGGGAAGGTAGTTCATCCCTCATTGCTGTAACAGCCTTGTCTTTAATGACTAATAGTATGTAATAGTATACATACATGAGATAGTCGATATAGGCAGAGTTACAAGAACAATAACATAATAAGTGTGTTGTGGTTTGGATCTGAAATGTCCCCCCACTGGGTAAAAAACTTATCCTGGGGAGATGCAGCACACATATCTACTCACCCAAGATAGGGAGCCCATGACAGATGAAAGTACAGATACCACCAAAGTCCAACTTGTTAAGCAATGCGTTTTATTGGTGCTATTTGCAGGAATATGGGTGAGGGGTTACTTACAGGAGCAGAAATGACTCAGAGACAGCTACGTCACCAAAGCCCACCCCACCACGGGTACCCGCCCACAAAGCTAGGAACCTGGAGCATAGTGCACAGACTGCAGGCAGCTCCGTAGGTTGGAGAGTCTTTCCTAGGTGCCTCAGTTGGTCTAAACCTCTTTCAGGTAGTGTGGCTGATTTTAGCTTTTTCCAGGTACCTGGTCTGGTCTCAGAGTCTTCTTTACAGCTTGGCTCTCTTCTGTCTGAGGTACTCTCGGCTTTTATTACTTGCTCTGGCAGGAAGAGACCTAATGAATCTGGCCAATTTCAGGGACTTCCTGAAGCTGTTTTGAGTGTTTGCCTTCCTGTAGGATGAAATGTTTTGATCTTGGAGGAAACCTTTTTTACCCCCTCCCCACCCCCAAAAGGTTCATGTTTTTAACACTTGAGCCTACCTATTGATGCTATTTTCGTAGGTGAAGCCTAGCTAGATGGTCAGTCATTAGGTAGGACTTTGAAGGAGATGTGTGTGTGTGTGTGTGTATGAAGGATGTATATATTATATATATAGTATATGAAGGATATATATGTGAAGGATATATATAATATATAACACACACATATATATGTGAAGGATGTATATAGTATATATATAGTATATGAAGGATATATATG